CACACACACACACACACACACACACACACACACATAGACAGCCCCTCGACAATATGCGTTTTTGCTGGCGCTGCACAGCAAAAACGCATAAAAATGGAAGAAAGTGCTCTGAGAGAGGCAAAAAAAGCACAAGATGCGCTGGAAAACTATTATAAAGACCATTTTGGAAGGTGCAAGAAGGCTGTTCGTGGATGTAAGCGTCGACTCCGCACATTGTTTTAACAACACCGGCAATCCATCCGTATCTACATCTAAACTGTACGCTCCTAACCACTCGACCAATGATTCCCAGTTGCTAAATGTCATCTCGATTGTACATCTTCCTCGCAACACTTTCATGTACTTCGGGCGTAGTAAGTTATCCTTTATACTAAGCTTCTGATTGCAGTGATGACAAACCAGCACACAGTTCTTTTGTAGTCTGCAAAACATTTCAGTAAAAAAATTTTTTTTTAGCAAAATAAACCAAAATAATTCCAAGCTTAATTCTACTCTTATTTCGGCAGCGGTAGCGCGCTTACTCACCGTCTGATCGAAAATGAGATGTGCTGAACACTGCTACACGGCAAAAATCTGGCAAATTCCTTTCTCGGGTGATGGTCGCTAAAGAAAAGTAAACAAACTGAAAGACTCTGAAGACAAGTGGAAGCCAAAATGTGCTACATTTAGCATCTCCGTGTCATTTTTTTCGGGAAGGGGAAAGGGTGAAGGTTGGAGAAGAGGGGGGAGGGGGATCATTGGAACAGGAAAGTGAAAAAATGCCAGTAGCGCCAATCGCAAGATGTGCAGCGATTAAGAGACATTCCTGATCGGAACGCCAAAAATAAATGGAAGCAACAGCAAGGACGAGTAAGAAGTGGGGAAATAGAAGACTGCATGTAAAGGACAGGGCTAAAGGGGAGGAGGGATACCCACTAATTTCTTAGCATTGCTGTCAATCGGGAACTTAACAAATGTAAGCTTTTATTTTTGGTATTTGGGTGAACAAGTACTGCACAGGATTGGTTTTTTCGGCGACAGTTTTTTTTTTTTTTTGAAAGAAAATCGTTTACTTCGCTTCAAGTATTTTGGTTTTCTCCATAAGGCTGTTGATTTGTTCGCGTGCCGTTACCAGCAAATTATACATATTACCAACAAGTACGTTATTTTCTTCTACACAATGCGGCACCGCTTCCACGTTATCAACTGCTACAGGAGAAACCGATTCAGTCTTAGGGTTTTTATTATCCAAATTTTCGCATGATATTTTCGGTTCCACCTCTTCGCCTATAAATTCAGCAACCTAAAGAATAATTATGCAGAAATGATCACAAAGAGTTTCGAAATCATAATCTCAAGTACTGTCGATCAAAGTGTACACAATTGGAATATCAATCAACAAAGAACTGCACTGGGAGACTCGATAAAAAAGATAACTACTAGAACTCGGCTCAAAAATTCCGAATCGGATTACGAGCTGCAACAACTGGGAAGCTGTGTTAAAAGGCTAAAGTGGCGGGGGGTGGGGAAGGGAGTAAGTGACGCCGGGGGAAGTGGTGGCCTGAGTTGCAACGAAGAGAAGCGAGTGGGGGGTCATTAACTGCAGAGACCCCATCCAGAAGTAGGAATTGGAAACCGGGGAGAGAGGATTTATGAGGGGAAATGCCCAGATGGATCCCTCATGCTCAACCTGAAACCAGATGCTGAGAAGTTAGAAAAAATTTTGCACGCGACATCTAGGGCCTAATCTAAACAAAAAAATCCGACAATACGACTTTCGCGACTTGAATAAGAACCCATATTGCGTACCCGAGTCGAGTTTTAGTAATTTCCACAAAAAAATTGTTTGTTTTGGCTGGTGGTTAATCAGAAAAATGTTTTTGGCAGAATTGTAAGAAAAGGGGGGGGGGGCAACAATAAGTAAAAATACAATGTTCGAAAAAAACATAATTCAGGTACGGCTCATCTTGCGGTAAAGAGAGGTAGATGGGACAGAGTGTTAAATAGTACCAATGTT